AGGGAGGAGAGGGATGGAGGAAGGTGGGTGAGAGCCGTGCAGTATTCCAGCCGCAAATGCCGTAACCGCTTCAAACCGCTCCCCAAACCATTTGGCAGCACCGTGAGCCTCCGACAGTTGGTAATGTTCAAATGCTCGAGAGAAGATAGTTGGGTTAGGGAGTCTGGGAGTTGCTGCAGCTGCCTACAGTCCACGAGATTCAGAGCCTGAAGAACTGTAAACTGCCCGAGGGATTCAGGCAGGTGCGTAAGCTGGTGAAGGCTGTTGAGGGACAGCGTTTTTAGAGCAATCAGCTGCCCGAACTCCTCGGGCAGGGCCGTCAGGTTGCAGATATTGTCGAGAGAGAGCCGTTGAAGTGTAGTAACAAGAGCGATGGAATCAGGGAAGGTTGTGAGACTCCTCAAATCCAGCATAAGTGTCTGTAGCTTGGACAACTGCGCGATATCGCTGGGCAGAACTGAAAGTTCTGGCAAGTCAAGGGTGAGGCTGGTGAGTGAAGGCAGGAGGAAAAGAGACTCGGGTAAAGACGTGATATCACCGCAGCGCTTGACAACTAAAGTCTTGAGCTGCCGCAGATGATCAAGAGCCTCAATTAGGTCACGCACTCTCGTCACTTCATCCATAATTAGGGTTTCGAGCGTCCGGAGTCGACGAAGATTGACCAGCGACGGGAGAACAACCGTGCACCGTTCGATCTCGAGAAGGACGAGATTAGAGAGGTTGGTAAGAGAGGCAGGCAGCTGAATCATCGCGCAGTAACCCACGGATAGACGGTTCAGATTGACCAGCTGGCCGAAATATTCTGGAATTGGCGCTGCGAAGCGGCAACAGTGCAGCTGAAGCGACTCCAAGCGGACCATTTTTTCGAAATCTGGAGGCAAAGCTTCGAGTTTATGAGTTGCCAGCACAAGGCTTCTGAGAGATTGTAATGCGGTAAAAGTGTCTGGAAGACGAGTGACGCTTGCCCTGAGGTGTAGGTTCTTGAGCAGAGTGAGTCGGCCGATCGACGGAGGAATAGCAGCACGCTCCGTACAATCCAGATACAGATCTTGCAGCTGAGTACACCCCTCGAACAGGAACGTCAGGCTCTTCTCACTTACACCGGTAACATCTGCTCGACTGAATCCGTGTGCTATCGAGTCAAGATGAAGCTTTGTCAGATGAGGACATACGTCAGGGAGGCGAGAGAATAAAAAAGGAGAGTCGGAGGTAAGGCTGCCGAAGTTAATGGTTAGCTTTCCGATGTTAACGAACGATGAAAGAAGGTGAACGAGCCGAAGTGGACACATACGGAGGTTTTCCCGCAGGTGGATCTGGTCTTGCAAGCGGTAGGCGATGTGATGCCATTGCTTGCAGACTAGCGCGTGCGTCAGCTGACCATCAGGTCGAATAAGAAGACCGAGTATACGAGAAAGCAGCTCATCGGTTAGCCGTTGGATCGGCGATCCGATTGGCATCGTGAAGGGAGGAGTTAAACAGATTCTAATGGTTGTTCCTACAGTTATGACTGCCTCTCCTAGGACAAGAACTAAACTAGATTGCGAACAAGCAATACGCGGTCAGGCATCTAGAATACAGATCAGCGCTCCGATGACAGTAAGGGGGTAGTGTGACTGGACTCGTCAGGGGCACCGCACTGCACCTCTCTTTTTCTCGAACCGTTCCCGCCTGATGCTTGGAGCACCAGATTCGCGAAAAGGGCGGCGAAAAGGATCTTGCACTGACGAAAACCATTCCTGCCTCTGCGATCTTCGTGTACCGAAAAATGAAACCAAGGGTCGGTCAGAGTCCCTGACTGAAGGGATTGAAGACGTGAACCCAGACCCTCATACAGTCGATGCTCACCCTATCACAAAAAAAAATGCTTACCACAATTACAAATTTACCAGTGAGGTGACTGAATTGAACATTATGAAATTTTCGTTACAGTCATCTATGTGCGGAAGTCAACATCTACAGTGCGCAAACAACAAGGATACACGTTTTGGCGAAAGTTTTGGCGGATGAGCGAAATGCAAAAAACTCGTTTCACTCACATGCCGCCCGCCTACCTGGTGTTCTTGTAATGGGCACCGTCTGTACAATCCCCCCACCATCTCAGAAACACAACCCACCCTGCTCAAACAACTTCTGATGTGCCAGCATGGATAGACAAAGAGCCACCAGTGCCACACCACCTGGCAGGAAGGCCATATCTCCTATGGCTCGATCGATTCAAGATCCATAGGGGATGATGACGTGGCTAGCTTATGTTGCTTCTCTCTAGTCGGTCACATGAAAGTTCAGCATGTACTTCAGCGGCTCCGTGGAGGTGCTGAAAATTGACAATGCAGAACAGAAAAAACATTTTGTTATCTGAAAACTACAGTGAAGTAAGTTAAGTAAGCACAAATGCTAAAATGAACCATTCAGCCGCCCGTATCCCTAAGTGCGAAAGCAAATGTAGGTCTTTCTACAGATTCTAAAAATTTGAGTTGAAAAAAGCAGTCATTAGGGGCAAAACATTTTTTTCATGCTGGCTCTGCAGATACGGCTCGGCGATGTGTCGTCGTCCGTCGCACAATGCGCCGAACCCAAAACGCCACGTCAGATCAGACCGCGCGCACCTCTCTCCCCGCAACCCACACCACCACAGCACCCCCCCTCCTCGCTCTCTCGCCTCACACATTCATCTGGGGGGGTTCAAATCGATTGCAATCCTTTTTTGCACTGTGCTGAACACACACACACTCACGGCCACTCTGGCCGCACATACACCACACACTCCGCTTTCTCTCTCGCCACGACATTCATTCGTCCCCACTTTCTCGCTCTACCCATTGCGCCCCACCCTAACTGCTCCACCCAACACCGCGTGATTAGCTTTGCGCCCTCACCCGACCACACTGATTGCTCGTTGCTTCTTCATTTCAGTGGCTTGCCTAGCGCACACGACGCTAACTCAACGGTGTCAGATCGACTCGTTGATAGCATCTCACCGTCCTCCTCATTCCTTCCTGCCACAACTACGCCATGGCTGCTACGGTAATAACCTTGCGTCTCGTAATCAGATTAGTAATGATGTATTACAGTAGATGAACTTAGAAGATAATTTGCGGTATACTTATTCTGGTCGCCGGCGCCGCCATGTATCAGATTCGGCGAATCTTGTTGAGGCGCCTTAAATTCCGTACCGATTGATACCACTATACCCGCAAAAAGTATAAGATGACACCACGCACCATGCCTCGCGTCACTACGGATTAACGCAACAGCCGCGGAGCCTATCAAGTTCCTTTTTTTTTGTTTTTTTGTTCGTTTTCATTTCTCGTAGTCACACAGCAGATACTCTCTCGCTGCCGCACATCATCCTCACGACCCCCCACTTTCTGCGCTCTCTTACCCAACATACTTCCCACATCCCCTCCCGCGCTCCCGCCTCCGCTCTCTCCTAGGTCTCCCGCGCGTTGACCGTCACATGCGCGGCGCGCCACGTCACGTGCGCGGCGGCGGCAGGCGGCGCCGCGCAGCAGCAGTGGACGGTGAAAGCGCTGGAGAGCAAGAGCATCGCGGAATTGCGAGCTCTGGCGAAAGAGCGTGGATTGCGGGGCGACACGCGGGCAGAGCTCATCACACTGCTGACGTGGGTGCCCCCTCTGTCTAAAAAAAAAAAAAAAAAAAAAACGGACTTTTTAAAATCTCTCTGCCCTGCTCCGTTCTTTACTGTTCTGTTCTGCTCAGCTCCGTCCCTTCGGTTCCGTCTGCTCCGTCTGCTTCCGTCTAGTTCCGTTTGGTTTTGTTTGATTCCGTCTGCCAGTGTGTCCTCTAGCAATCCTCCCCTCTCATCGCAGTTTCCCTCTGCCTTCACGGCATTCCCGAGATTCTTCCTGCTAGCTCCGTCTCGGGAGTGCCGTGTACCATTGCGCGCCGTTTCGGATCTTATTTTCTCTGCTTCCTCCCTCTCCCGCCCACTCCGCCCACTCCCCGTTTTCCACCCTCTTCCACCCTCTCCCACCCTCTCCGCCCTCTCCGCCCTCTCCGCCCTCTCCGCCCTCTCCCACCCTCTCCGCCCTCTCCGCCCTCTCCGCCCTCGCCTCACCTGCGCCAACGTGCTGAGACATTCCGCAATCCGCCGTAACATTCCCCCCTTCCCCTTGCTGTTTTTCTCCCCACCCCCCATTCCCTCCCTCCCCCCCTCCCCCCCCCCCCCCCACACACCCCACCCTCCCCACTCCGCCCCCCTCCCCCCTCTTCCACTCCTCACCTCCCCCCCTGAAATAACAGGTCCACAGGAAACGTCAGCGCAAGTTCCGCCTCCGCAGTTTCCGCTCCCCCTTCCACCCCCGCGTCCGCTTCCGCCAGCGCAGCGGGCGCGGCGGGGCAGCAGCAGCAGCGGCAGCGGCAACTGGACGTGCTCCCGCTGGCGCAGCTGCGCGCAATGGCGCGGAGCAGAGGGCTCAACGCGTCGGGGAGCAAGGCGCAACTAGTTAAAGACCTATTGTGAGTTGGCAGCGCGGAGGGTTGAGGGGGGGGGAGGGGGAAAGGGGGGGAGAGGGAGGGGGAGGACGGGGGGAAGGGGGAGGACGGGGGGAAGGGGGAGGACGGGGGGAAGGGGGAGGGGGACATTTCGGAAGTCAAACATCGAGGCGCTGTGGAGTAGCTCGTCCCCTTTCTGTTCTCTTCCTCTCCTTTCCGCCCCCTCCGCCCGTTCCGCCGTTTCCGCGCTCTCCATTCCGCCCCTTCACTCCCCTCCCATACCCCCTATTCCAGAGTCGCGGAACTCGGCACTGCGCCATCCGCTCTCTCCCCCTCCGCCTCCCCCCCCCCGCGTTTACGCTCCGCCTCCCGCCCCCCCCCCACCCCGCTCCGCCTCCGCTCCCCCTTCCGCACCCGCGCCCGCGTCCCCGAGTAAGACGTGGAAAAGCCAGCTGCAGGCGCAGCCCCTTTCCGCCCTGCGCGCGCTTGCGCGGGAGCGGGGGCTGCGCGGAGACACGCGCGCGGAGCTGATAACGGTGCTCAGTATGGACCCGCCCGCAGGCTCGGAAGTGCCGGGCCTGGTCCCGAACCTGCCATCTTCGTTCGACCTGCCGTTCCAATCGGAGGTGCAGGCTGGGAGCAGCGCATTGGAGCCCTCACAGGTGGGGGAAGAAGGGGGAGGGGGAAAGGGGGAAGACGGGAAAGGGGAAGAAGGGGAAAGGGGGAAGGGTTTAGGGAAGGAGGGAAATGGGGAAAAGGGGAAATGGGGAGGAGGGAAAGCGAGGGGGGATGTCTGATGGGTAAGACAAAGTCTGGAGGCAAGGAGTGACTCTTAATCGACCCAAAGGAAGGGAGTGGGTAAATGTCTGAGAAAATGAATGAGAAAACGAATATGAAAACAACCACACTTCTTGTCTCTTGCTTTCCACCTTCGTCTACCTACCTCCTCCATCTCTCCCCCTCCTCCAATTCCCTCCCTCCCTTCTCCACCCCTCCCCACTCCCCTACCCACCCCCCTCCCCACCTCCCTCCCCTCCCCACGTCTCCACGCTCTCCCCCCTCCCCTCCCCTCCCCTCCCCTCCCTCCCTCCCCTCCCCTCTTTTCCCTCCCACCAGGCGGCCAAGCTGGCTTCCGAATTAGCATCGCTATCAGCAACGATGCAGGTGCTGCAGTCGAAGCAAGCGACACTATCAGGCGAGAGGGACAGCCTCAAGGAGCAAGCGGACCTGCTGAGGAACGTGCTCGTGGGGGGCCTTGGTCTCGCGCTCATCCCCCTGCTGCTCCCCCTGCAAGCAACCAACCCGGGCACTGTGACTGCCACCACCAGTGTAACCCAGGTGAGCTTTGACCTATTTTGAGGTGTTGGATCAGTTTCCGGAAGCACCTGCTGCCCCTCTGCTGCAGTCGAAGCAAGCAGCGCTATCAGAGGGGAGAGAGGGAGAGAGGGACAGCCTCAAGGAGCAAGCGGATCTGCTGAGGAACGTGCTCGTGGGGGGGCTTGGACTCACGCTCATCCCGCTGCTGCTGCCCCTGCAAGCAACCAACACCGCCGTGCAAGGCACCGTGACTGCCACCAGTGTAAATGTAAACCGTTTTTTTTTTTTTTTTTTTTTTTTTTTCTCCCTGAACTGACGCTGCAAGCAACCACCACAGCAACCCAGGTGAGGCTTCTTCTACGAAATATTCTATATTGACTGTTTAATGGTGATTTTCCTACCTCCACATCCCCTCCACCAAACACTGCCTCCCATAGCACCACCACCTGCACCCGAGGCCAGGGAGCTCGCACCAGAGAAGTGCTGCTGCGCGCTTTCCAAGTCTGACCCATAACCCAAACCCCTCTGTCCCCCCCTTCACCACCCATCCCCTTCATGCGCCCCTCCACCAGACGCTGCCTCCCCCAGCACCGCCTGCGCCTGAAGTGCGGGAGGAGTTCTGAACTTGCACCAGAGGAGTTCTGCCACATGCTTCCTCAGTCTGACTCATATCCCTTCCCCCGACTCTTGACCCTTTCCCTCTGTTCCCGCCTCCACACCCCCCGTCACCAGACGCCAGCACCGCCTGCGCCCGAGGTCAGGGAGCTGGCACCAGAGAAGTTCTGCTGCACGCTTCTCAAGTCTGACCCATAACCCACCCCCCTCTGTCCCCCCCAATCCACCCATCCCCTTCACCAGACGCCAGCACCGCCTGCGCCTGAAGTGCGGGAGCTGGCACCAGAGGAGTTCTGCCACACGCTGCCAGCCTCGCTGCTCTCCCCCGACCTCGCAAGATTCTGCCAGGCTGTCAACAACTTGAACCTGTGATTCGTGATCCTCCTGTGACCCTGTGACCGCTCCCGTTGGGTGGGCTGGGGTGTCAACTGGGGCTGTTTTATAATTTATTGGAGGAGGTTAGCTTGATGTGCTCAGCATGATTCGAGACAGCTAAACATGGTCTTTGCCTTGCTGCTTTCGCCTGAAACATGCTAGATTCTCTCAGAAAGTAGCTACAGCGGAATGAGTAGGATTGATAGGGTTGGGGTACACATGCCTAACCCTAACTGCTTGTACCCCATATAGCATGACCCACAACAGGGTATAACATTTGACACACCCCCATAGCCTAAGTGGGGAATGCCAAGCAACAAGAAACGCAACCTAAGGTCACAAGACCAGTCACAAACAAAAGACAAAACAAAGCTCAGGGTGGATCACAACGTCACCACACAGTCTGAGCGCAAACAGCGGCCACAAGGCCAGTTCAAGAGTGTATATGCAGATATATACTGTACAAGCAAAGACAAGAGACAAGCACTCACTACTGCAGTCTACTCGACCCAGTCTCAACGAGGCCCAACTGCAGACAGAACCGGCGGTGGTCACAAGGCTGAAGAGCCTTGGTGAAGATGTCTGCAGTGTTGGCCTCGGAGGCCACGAAGTCCAGACGAGCCTGCCCGCGTCTCTGCAACTCTCGAAGGAGGAAGTACCTGACGTCGATGTGCTTCACTCTGCTCTCCAGTCGAGGCTCACGACACAGGAGAATCATCGCCCTGTGTTAAGTTGTAATGTGTTATTTATATGTAGGTAGGCTGTAGTGGGGTAGCCAATACAGGGTACAAACCCAACTAGGGTTAGCTACTTGTACCCAACTGTTTCTTTCAATGCATCATTCTTGCCTAGTTCTTTTCACATGGTATTCAGAGCAGGAGGTCCCTAGGACCTACCGACCGTTTTTTAAGGGCCCACCACCGCTCGCATGCGGTTACCACGCTACCCCGTGCCCTAGCCTCGTAGCGCCCTCGTGCGCCCTCGTTAGCGCCCTCGTGCGCCCTCGTTAGCGCCCTCGCGCGCCCTCGTTAGCGCCCTCGCGCGCCCTCGTTAGCGCCCTCGCGCGCCTCTCGTTAGCGCCCTCGCGCGCCCTCGCTAGCGCCCTCGCGCGCCCTTGTTAGCGCCCTCGTGCGCCTCTCGTTAGCGCCCTCGCGCGCCCCTCGCAGAGTCGCCCGCCCGCCGAGCCGCCCGCTCGCAGCGTCGCCCGCCTACCGCGCTGCCCGTTTCGCAGCCCGCCCGCCGCGCTGCCCGCTCGCAGCGTCGCCCGCCCGCCCGCTGCCCGCTTGCAGCGTCGCCCGCCCGCCCGCTGCCCGCTTCGCAGCGTCGCCCGCCCGCCGCGCTGCCCGCTCGCAGCGTCGCCCGCCCGCCTCGCTGCCCGCTTGCAGCGTCGCCCGCCCGCCGCGCTGCCCGCTCGCAGCGTCGCCCGCCCGCTGCCCGCTTCGCAGCCCGCCCGCCGCGCTGCCCGCTCGCAGCGTCGCCCGCCCGCTGCCCGCTTGCAGCGTCGCCCGCCCGCCCGCTGCCCGCTTCGCAGCCCGCCCGCCGCGCTGCCCGCTCGCCGCGTCGCCCGCCCGCCCCGCTGCCCGCTTCGCAGCCCGCCCGCCGCACTTCCCGCCTGCAGCGCCGCCTGCCCACCGCGCTGCCCGCTTCGTAGCCCGCCCCCCGCACTGCCCGCTCGCCGCGTCGCCCGCCCGCCGCGCTTCCCGCCGAGCTACCTACCTGCAGCGCTGCGGCAGCTTCCTTTGCTCAGTCGCACAGTCGCTATGGCTTCCATCCGTGTGCTGTCGTTCGATGCTGAGGGCCGCCCTGTGAAGTTCGCCACTTGGCTGGATGACCTGCAGCTGTTCCTTCTGAGCGATAGCAAGGAGCATGTGTCGCTCTATGATTACGCGTCTGGTGCTGCACCTGCCCCTCCTGCCACAGCTGAGCTTAGTGTTCGTTCCCACTGGCAGACTCGTGACGCAGCTGCTCGCCTAGCCATTCGCAGTCACCTGCCGCTAGCTGAGCTCGAGCATTTTGGCGACTGCAAATCCGCTAAGGCCCTGTACGATGCTGTCGTTGCTCGCTACTCCTCGCCTGCCACAGCCGAGCTTAGCCGCCTCATGCTGCCGTACCTGTTCCCTGAGCTGTCCACCTTTGCTACAGTCGCCGATCTTATCACCCACCTTCGCACTAGTGATGCTCGCCTGCGTGCCGCCCTTCCCACCGAGTTCTGCGCTAAGAATCCCCCTCCACTGTACTGGACACTCCACTTCATAGTCACCCGTCTCCCTGACACCCTCAGCTCAGTTCGAGACCACTTCCTTGCTCGCTGTCCCACTGAGCTCACAGTCGCCCTCCTAGAGGAGCAGCTGCTAGCGGCCGAAAAGAGCATTGTAGCTGTCGGTGCTGCTCGTGGCGCTCCTCGCACCCCCATCTTTGAGGGGTGTTCTCCCTCTCCCCTCGCTCCCTCCTACGCTGCTGCTGCTGCTGTTGACTTCCTTGGTGCTGAGTCTGCTGGCGCTGCTTCTGCTCCTGGTGGGAGGCGCCGCACCGGCAAGGGCAAGGGGGGCAAGGGTGGCGGGGGTGGCGCTGGGGGGGGAGGAGGTGGGGGAGGTGGGGGGGGAGGCGGTGCTGGAGGGAGCGGTGGCGGGAGCGCTGGTGGGAGTGGGGTCGGCGGTGGAGGCGGGGGCGGCGGAGGAAGCAGTGGCAGTAGTGGCGGCGGCGGCGGTGGCGGCGGTGGCGGTGGTGGCGGTGGCGGTCGGAGCGGTGGTAGTGGTGGCGGCGGAGGTCGGAGTGGAGGCACCGGCTCGGGCCAGAGCTCCCAGCAGCAGCAGCGTCCCCAGACGACCCAGCAGCTTCGTGAGTGGCTTGCTCAGCGTGGGACGTCGGGGGGCAGTGGCCGCTGTTCCTATGTCATTCGCACAGGTGACCGCAAGGGACAGACGTGTGGGAGGTTCCACACCCCGTACCGCTGCTTCTCCCGCCTTGACGACGCTTGGCGTGAGGAGATGGGCGAGGATGTTGAGCGCCCCCGCTGGGCTGAGCTCATGAGGGCTGGTGTTGATATCTTTGCTCTTGACTATGATGCTATTATTGCTGCCATGTATGCATTGACTGTTAGTGCCGAGGGAGACTGTTACTTGTGTGTGCCGCCTGACCCAGGTATAGAGCCCGCTGCCCTGGGTACTAGTGAGTCTGCTCTCTCTGGTATGGTGCCCCCTGTACTTGCTCCCTCCAGTGCTGTCCCGGCTGTTTGCGAGTCTGCTCTCTCAGGTACAGCACCCACAGAGACTGCTCTCTCAGGTACCGCACCGGCTGAGGCCTGTTACACCTTCACCCTTGACTCAGGTGCTTCCCGCTGTTTCTTTCGTGACAGTACTGAGCTCACACCGCTTCCTGCACCGGTCCCAGTCTCCTTGGCTGACCCCTCTGGGGGCCCAGTCCTTGCCCAGTCCACCACTGTGCTCCCTTTCCGGCGGTTCCGTCTGGCTCGTTGTCGGGTTTCCACCTCCCCTCGTTCTCGACGAACCTGGTGAGCAACGCTGTCATCCAGGATCAGTGGGTTGACACCTTTACCCCTAGAGGACAGCGTGTGGCGATCTGCACGTGCTCCAGGACCGGCCGTCACCTGGCCACGTTTACCCGTCGGCCGGGGTCGAGTCTCTACACACTGACCACTGCGTCTCCTCAGGTCGCTTCTGTCCGTCAGGTGTCCGCGTCAGGTCTAGTGGCCCACGCCTGTGAGTGTCGTTCCCTGTCGCACCAGACTCTTCTCTGGCACCACCGCCTGGGTCACCCCTCCTTGCCACGCCTCCGTGGCATGCACCGTCGCCGCCTTGTGTCTGGTCTTCCCAGGTCCCTCCCTCCCCTCCCTGCCTCGCCTGCGCCACCCTGCCTTCCTTGCGTCGAGGGGCGGCAGCGCGCCGCTCCTCACTCCTCCTCGTTCCCCCCGACAGAGGCTCCTCTGCAGACCCTCCACCTGGACGTGTGGGGCCCAGCCCGCGTTCGTGGCCAGGGCGGTGAGCGGTACTTTTTGCTGGTTGTCGACGACTACTCGCGTTACACCACGGTCTTCCCCTTGCGCACCAAGGGTGAGGTCCCTGCTGTTCTGATCCCTTGGATCCGCACAGTTCGTCTCCAGCTCCGCCGCCGTTTCCGGACGGATCTTCCTGTCCTGCGTCTGCACTCTGACAGAGGTGGTGAGTTTTCCTCCGATCTCTTGAGGACCTTCTGTCAGGCGGAGGGCATCGAGCAGACCTTCACGCTTCCGGACTCCCCACAGCAGAATGGGGTTGCTGAGCGCCGCATTGGCCTGGTCATGGAGGTCGCTCGTACCTCCTTGGTCCACGCGGCGGCTCCCCATTTTCTGTGGCCGTTTGCTGTCCGGTACGCCGCGCATCAGCTCAACCTCTGGCCCCGTGTCTCCTTGCCGGAGACCTCGCCCACACTGCGTTGGACGGGGGAGGTTGGCGATGCGTCGCGCTTCCGGGTGTGGGGTGCTCGTGCCCTTGTCCGCGATACGTCCGCGGACAAGCTCTCCTCCCGCACACTTCCCTGTGTCTTCCTTGGCTTTGTCCCTGACGCGCCGGGCTGGCAGTTTTACCACCCCACCTCGCGCCGGGTCTTCGCCTCTCAGGACGTCACCTTTGACGAGTCGGTCCCTTTTTACCGTCTCTTCCCCTACCGCACTGCCCCCCTCCCTCCCCCGCCGCTTTTCCTTGCTCCTGGTCCCCCTCCGGTAGACCCCCTTCCCCCTCAGGGTCCTGCTCCTTCAGGTGTCTCTCAGGTAGACCCTCCTCCCGTCGCTGAGCCTGTCGAGGTCACAGGTGACTCAGGTGCTGCTGCAGGTGGTGCTGCTGGGAGTGCTGAGCCTGGGGGTGCTGAGCCTGCGGGTGCTGGGCCTGGGAGTGCTGGGACTGCGGGTGCTGGAGCTGAGGGTACTGTGCCTGGGAGTTCGGCGCCTGGGGGTGCTGAGCCTGGGGGTGCTACGACTGGGGGTGCTGAGCCTGCGTGTACGGAGTCTGGGGGTGCTGAGCCTGGGGGTACTGCGCCTGAGGGTACTGAGCCTGGGGGTGCTGCTGCTGAGCCTACGGAGCCTGGGGGTGCTCTTCCTGGCGGTACTGGAGCTGCTGGAGCTGACGACGCTGGAGCTGACGGTTCTGGACACGGTGGTCCTGCTGGTTCTGGAGGTGCTGGCGAGGGGAGGTCTGACGCTGCTGGGGCCTCTGGTGCTGACGTCGCCGACTCGGGGGGTGCTGCGGCGGAGGGTGCTGGTCCAGGTGCTTCTGGTGCTCCGGGTGCTGGAGGTGCTGGCGGAGCTCCGCCGTCGCGCCTGTTCTTCGCTCCTCCGTCGCCGTCGGCTTTGCCGCCGCCTGACACGGTGCTTCGCCAGGTTCTTTCCCTCCCGTCTTCCACTGGCCTTCCCCTTCAGCCTGGCTCCCCCCTCCCTGCTCCTGTGCCTTATACTGCACAGCCGGACTCGCTTACGGAGCGTCGTGAGCCTGCGTCTCGTCCTGCCTCGCCTGTTCGCGCTGCTCGCACTGCTCGCACTGGTCCCACTAGCCGTCGTGTCGCGCGTCCGCGTCCTCCTCCTGTTCCTGGCACGCACATTATGGCACTTCGTCCTTCCACTGGTCCACAGCGTGTCCCCCTACCGTCTCCTCCTGCGTCTTCTCTTCCTGACGTTCCCGACCCTGAGTCTGACAGTGTTCGTGCTGCCCACCCTACTGTCACGCGTCTTCTCGCCACTGTTGTCACTGACCCGTCGTTTGAGTCTTCTGCTGCGTCTGCCCTGGTCGCTGAGCTTGTCGACTTTGCTGCTGCCTGTCGCCTCGACTACGCCGCCAGTCTTGTTGCTGGGTCTGAGTCTGTCTGTCCTCCGTCCGTCGGGGGTGAGTGTGCTCTTGGCACGAACGTCCTTGAGGACAGGCAGGAGGACTTTGACTCTCTCGCGGCTGCTGTACCTCATCTCGTGGCCTGGTTGCTTGCCCCTGAGGGAGACCCGGATGCACTAGACATCCCTACTCCGCGCACTTACGCAGAGGCGATCTCGGGTCCCTACTCCTCTCAGTGGCAGACAGCCATGGACGCAGAGATGGCATCCTGGAAGTCCACAGGCACCTACGTCGACGAGGTTCCCCCTCCTTGGGCGAACATCGTCGATGGCATGTGGATTTTCAGGGTGAAGCGGCCGCCAGGTTCTCCCCCTGTCTTCAAGGCTCGTTACGTTGCTAGAGGCTTCAGTCAGCGTCAGGGGGTCGACTTCTTCCAGACCTTCTCCCCCACCCCAAAGATGACCACTCTTCGGGTTCTGCTGCACGTTGCTGCTCAGCGTGACTACGAGCTTCACTCTCTTGACTTCAGCACAGCGTTCCTGCAGGGCAGCCTGCACGAGGAGATCTGGCTGCGCCGCCCACCTGGCTTTACTGGGTCGTTTCCTCCTGGTACCCAGTGGAGCCTCCGCCGGCCAGTCTACGGTCTCCGCCAGGCGCCACGTGAGTGGCACGACACACTGAGGACTACACTTGCGGCTCTTGGGTTCGCGCCGTCTACTGCTGACCCGTCGCTGTTTCTGCGCACAGACACGTCGCTGCCGCCGTTCTACATCCTCGTGTACGTCGACGACTTGGTCTTTGCTACTGCTGACACTGAGGCACTCGCTCGTGTGAAGTCGGAGCTGCAGAAGAGACACACCTGCACTGACCTGGGTGAACTGCGCAGCTACCTTGGCTTGCAGATCACCTGGGACAGAGCTCGCCGCACCATCACCCTGACTCAGTCACACATGGTGCAGCAGGTCCTTCAGCGCTTCGGCTTCCAGTTCTCCTCACCACAGGCCACACCTCTGGCTACCAGCCACTCGCTCTCAGCTCCACCTTCGGACGAGTCCGTAGAGCCGAGTGGCCCGTACCCAGAGCTTGTAGGCTGCCTCATGTACCTGATGACTTGCACGCGACCTGACCTCGCGTACCCACTTAGCATCCTTGCTCGTTACGTTGCGCCTGGGAGACACAGGCGAGAGCACTGGGAGGCTGCTAAGAGGGTGCTGCGTTACTTGTGCAGTACATCAGGCATGGGGCTGGTGCTTGGAGGACGCGACAGAGTTGTCCTCACTGGTCACTCGGACGCTTCTTGGGTGGACGACCTGGCTACGCAGCGGTCGTCACAGGGTTACACCTTCAGCCTTGGCTCTGGTTCTGTCTCGTGGCGGTCCACCCGCTCTTCTTCTGTTCTCGGCTCTAGTTGTGAGGCTGAGATCTACGCCACAGCCATGGCTGCACAGGAGTTACGCTGGCTCACCTACCTGCTGACTGACTTGGGAGAGCGGCCTAGTTCTCCTCCAGTTCTGTACGGTGACAACAAGGCGGCTCTTGCCTTGTGTCAGGAGCACAGACTGGAGCACAGGACGAAGCACATTGCTCTTCGCTATTTTCTTGCTCGAGAGCTTCAGCAGCGCGGTCAGCTTCGGCTTGTGTACGTGGACTCGAAGGCCAACACTGCTGATATCTTCACCAAGGCGCTCCCGCCTAGTGATCATCAGCGGCACTGTACTTCTTTAGGCCTTGTGTCCACGTTTCGTCACTTGCTGACTGCTTGACATTCTTTGTACTGTACTTTATATTTGTCTTGCTGCTTGTCCTGTTCTATATCTAGCACTACATGTGAACTGGCCTTGTGGCCTTTGTTTGTGCTCGGAGTGTGGTGACGTTGTGATCCACCCTGGGCTTGTTTTTTACTTTGCTGGACTGGTCTTGTGACCCTTTGCTCTCCCCCACTTTGCCTATGGGGGTGTGTTAAGTTGTAATGTGTTATTTATATGTAGGTAGGCTGTAGTGGGGTAGCCAATACAGGGTACAAACCCAACTAGGGTTAGCTACTTGTACCCAACTGTTTCTTTCAATGCATCATTCTTGCCTAGTTCTTTTCACACCCTGTTGTCAGCAAACAGGGTCGGTGCAGAGCTCGGCCGCTCACCAAGGTCAGTGAGCAAAAAGGTCAACCAGCGTAGCTCCTGAGCAGCAAGGGCCCCAGCGTAGATCTCGGCCTCTGCGGTAGAAGTCGCAACCGAGGAGGACCGAGTAGACCTCCACGAAACAGCTCGGGAACCCAGGCTGAAACAGTAACCCTGCGTAGACCTCTGAGTCTCAACGTCGTCGGCGTAGGAGGAGTCGCAGTGACCGGTGAGTACAACTGGCTGTGTCCCTCCAAGTACAAGCCCCATGCCTGATGTCGCGCCAAGGTACTTCGCCACCCTCTTAGCCGCCGCCCAGTGAACAGGACGGTGTCTCCCAGTCGCAACAAAGCGAGACAGGATGCTAAGAGGGAAGGCGAGGTCCGGGCGAGTGCACGTCATCAGGTACATGAGGCAGCCCACCAGCTCTGCGTAGGGACCACTGGGCTCGAACGGCTCGTCAGGAAAAGGCCCAGTGAGTCTGTGGTCTACAGCAAGAGGAGTGGGTGTAGGAGAGGAGTCCTGAAGCCCGAACCGCTGAAGGACCTGCTGCACCATGTGTGACTGAGTCAGAGTGATGGTGCGAGCGGCTCTGTCCCTGGAGATCTGCAGGCCAAGGTAGCGGCGCAGTTCTCCAAGGTCAGTGCACGTGTGTCTCTTCTGCAGTTCGGACTTCACCTCCGCCAGTGCAGCTGTGTCGGCTGTGGCAAAAACCAAGTCGTCAACGTAGACCAGAACGAAGAAAGGTGTGCGCCCACGACGAACAAACAGCGACGGGTCGGCGGAAGACGGCTCAAACCCGAGGTCGGAGAGAGTAGAGCGGAGAGTGTCGTGCCACTCACGGGGTGCCTGGCGGAGACCGTAGACCGGTCGTCTGAGGCTCCACTGGGTCCCAGGCGGGAAAGTGCCAGTGAAGCCCGGAGGACGACGCAGCCAGATCTCCTCGTGTAGGCGGCCCTGGAGGAAGGCAGTGGAGAAGTCAAGAGAGTGTAGCTCGTAGTCTCTCTGCGCTGCTACGTGCAGTAACACCCGAAGAGTGGTCATCTTCGGGGTGGGCGCGAAGGTCTGAAAGAAGTCAACTCCCTCACGCTGACTGAACCCTCTAGCCACGTAGCGTGCCTTGAAGACTGGGGGAGATCCCGGCGGCCGCTTCACCTTGAAGATCCACATGCCGTCAACGATGTTCGCCCCTGGTGGGGGAACCTCGTCAACGTAAGTGCCTGTGGACCTGTAGGAGGCCATCTCTGCGTCCATGGCAGCTCTCCACTGAGAGGCCCAAGGCCCTGACACTGCCTCAGCGTAAGTGCGAGGAGTAGGTATGTCAGGAGCGTCGGGGTCTCCCTCAGGAGTGAGCAGCATGGCACAGAGATGAGGCGAAGCAGCTGCCAGGAACTCTAGCTCAAACTGTCTGTCCTCTAGGACGTCACAGCCAAGGGCAGACTCACCCCCGGCGGACAGAGGACGGACAGGAGGAGCGGCCACAACACGAGTGGCGTAGTCAAGGCGACGCGTAGCAGTAAAGTCAGTGACAGTGGCAGTGAGGACCGCGACGGAGGAAGGGGAGGCACGAGGGTCTGTAACAAGAGAGGCGAGAACACGAGAGAGAGTGGGGCGGTACGTGCGGTAGTAGTCAGTGACCGGAGTGGACAGGGAGGCAGTGAGGGAAGACTCAGGAGGACGAGGAAGGGCCGACGGAGGAGAACGAGGAGGACTAGGACGAAACAACACGGTACGGAGGTCAGTGACAGGGGACGAGGGACGAGCACGAGGAGGACGAGAGGCCCAAGTGTGGGCGAGAGGAGTGGGGGACGGAGGAGACAGAGAACGAGGGAAGACAGCCGGAGTGGAGTCCGGAGGAGGAAACGTAGGACCAAACACAGGAGGAGAGGAGGGGAGACCAAGGGCCCGAAGGCCAGAAACAGGGGGCGGAGGCTGCTGCGGCTGCTGCTGCTGCTGCGGCTGCTGCTGCTGCTGCTGCTGCTGCTGCTCCCGCTGCAACTCCAACCTCTCACTCTCCACCCGCTGCTGAAGCTCCAACCTCTCACGCTCCAAACGCTGCTGCTCCTCGCGCTCAAGACGAAGACGGGCCTGGTGGCGAGTCGGGTAAGGGTGA